ATTGTCCATTTCAGACTAAACCATTCCAGAGTAGTTTACATTACAACAGGGAACCATAAATCACTATTGGAGAATTCATCCCCCTCGTTCAACTGTCTGGGGCTGGATGGGGTTGACACCAGGTAACACCAGTTTTGCTGCCAATAAAAAGCACTGGTGCAAGTCCAGGCTCACTACACTGCTGCGAGCACGCGTGTGTGTACGTGCATGCATGTGTGTACGGACGTGGACAAGCCTCTAGCAATGGGCTCGGTGTATCTGTGTCCAACTGCTGCCACATTCCATCCAGATAAATCACCAAGTGCCTCAAATATCTTCCTTGCTGTTCACAAGGAACCGTCACTTTGAAGCTTTTTCAGAAAAGCAAGTGGGGTTTAATCACATGAGCATTCCCGATATTGACATTGACACTTGTGGGGGTGTGGTGAAACATGCTCACAGGAGCTTTCATTTCAGAAGGATGCGTGGTTTGTGTGTACCCACTTTAAGCACATGAACTTCAGCTGAGTGGGATGTTTTTGCTCTGAGAAATGCAGAGTGGCCTTTACATGCTGTGCCAGGAACGGCATTTGAAAGGCGTGTGTGGGGTTGGGGGTGGGGGCAGATGGAACGTGCCTTTGAACCTGTAGATTTCGGACAATTGACTTTTTAAATGTACCTTTTCATATGATCTGTCGTAATATTACTTTTTAATGGGTAATAAATAGGGGCATAAATTTTGTTGTCAGGCAATGACAGCAAAGTGATGGGGAAAATAAGATGAAATACGGCATGGCGTTTTCTGTGTGGGCTTTTGACAGTAGCTCTTGAGTTCGTGTTTAGAAGTGCACTTTGTACAGCAGGTTTTTAAGGTCCTGAAGGATGGAATGGGCCCTTTTAAGATTAAAAATAGCCCTGTCCTCAGTGGGAGATGCAGGGCTGGAAGAAAGGAACAGTCAGGGGCCTGCTTCGTCTAGCCTCTTTTCTTCCCTTGGAAAAGTGTGGTTTTTTCCAGTCATTAGGGTGGGGAGCCCCCCGTTCCTGTAGGAGACCAAGCGTTAGAAGGAAGAAATTATAGGAAATGGCACTGTTAACCTTAAGAGCTGGGCTGCCAGGTGCTTGTAGCATACCCTGAGCATGGCTTATTCTGGCGCTGAGGCAGGAGGCTTCACAAAGGGAACAGCTAGTTAATTCTGGGGACTTGAAACTCTGCAGCTGATTCTGGAGATTTGGAAACCCCTAGGGATCTCTGAGTTGCAACCTGGTATCCTTAGTTGAAATGGCTACACACAATGGAAGAGTAAGCAAGGACTCGTGGTATATGTTAAGCAAAAGTTGCTAAACAGCCACATGACCATCCTTGGTGGGAAGGGCTGACCAGTCCATGATCAGTTTAAAGATAAAGATTCAAAGAGCCATTGCCCATCAGCAGGGAGCTCCAGAGCAGTCGCATGGGTCACCTGGTGACAGGTTCCTGCACTATGGCAAGAGGGACTGTATTTCTTTAATTCTTTCTCAGCTTGCACCTATTCATATGCACACAGGCTAATGCTATGCAAACTGACATCTACTGTTGGCCTCTTTTTTGCTGATCCATAAGTGCCCGTCCCAACAGGTATTGAGAACTGAGGGTCCTCCTTCACACATTCAAAGCACAAACCTTTTCCTTGCAAAATCCTCTTTACTGACCAAAAGCACAAAACATGCAGAAGGAATCTCTGAGCATGCACAGAGTGGTTTGTTGAACTCAATCTAGTATTCATCTCCAGGAACTCTCCTTATGAGCATGACTGGGTCCCATCCCTTTGGGATGACCATACCTCCTCTCTGCATGCTGATCCTCTAATTGGGCCACCCTCCTCTGCCATCAAAGCATCATGGGATATAGAGTCAGGGCCACTAGATCTGTGTCTGAGAAACTCCCCTGCTCCAGGACCTCTTTGCCAACTGTACATCATGGTTATTTCCCAAGATGACCTGTCCTCCTGGGGAGTCTGGCCTTGAGTAAGCATCTTTTCTTCTGCTGAAGCCCAGCCAACAGCCCCTGAGAATATGTGCCCAAAGCAACAAGAGGGGCTGTTCATACGTAACACTAAGCTGCAGTTTAGCCTTACATGTATGAGCATTGAGCTTGTGTGCTTGTGCAGCCTCCAGGAGGAGACTAGAAATGTTTGCTTCCATTTTTCACTAGCTCTTCTGTCCAAACCTGGCTTGGCACTGGGCTGCCACAAAGGCAGCCTCCTTCTATACGTCCTTCCCCACATGCCCTGATTTTCAAGAAGTGTGATGGGCAGCTAACACGGCAGGGCTTCCTCTGCAGCTGCACCTACCCATGGAATGCCTGGCCAACTGAGGATCCTTGAGTTCTGCTAATTTATTGTTTTAAGGAGCTGGCAAAAGCATGGTTTTTAAACATGCATCTGGATTAAAATTTCCCTGGCTTGTTTAATGTTTCCTTAGTTTTGACTGCATCATCATTTTATTTATTCATTTATTTATTTAGTAAACTTCTATGCCGCCCCACTCACCGAAGCCTCGGGGCGGCTTACAACAATAAATAAATACATATAATCATATAAAAACAATATAATTGGAAATGCCCTGGCCAAAGATACAAAATCAATAAATAAGCTAACAATTAAAATGCTGTTTAAATAAAAAGGTCTTGGCCTGGGGCCAAAAAACATATAACAATGGTGCCAGGCGGATCTGATTAAGTGGTTATTGTTGTAGCTCAGTTGCATTGATATTGTGCTTTAGGATAATTGTTATTTGGAATGAGGAGCAATATATTCACTTGTTTACACAGTAAATGATTTTTCTGATTTGTAGTCTCCCTGAGTTCTTCTTGGAAATAAGGCAGGAAATTTGTTTTTAAAAGAAATAGGCTGAACTATGGTTTAGAGAAACAAGCCAACTTCAAAGTAAGAGTGCACAATCTTTTCAAGTGTGAGGACTGCATATGATGGCTTGGGAGTTGGGGCTCTCACCCACCCACACATACACCCACCACATGCCTGTGTACACACAAAAATGTATACCTGTACGCACATATAAACAGCCACACACACCAATTGCAGTGATTGCAATATGGCTGCCCTTTTCCTCATTGTCAACAGCAGAGAAGAAGCAATAGTCTGCATGAGGATTGCTGAGGAAGGAAAGAAGTGGGGAGGGTTTGTTTTGCCTCTCCCTCAGCAACCCTGATACGGACTGCAACCTCTAACAGAATCACACAGGGAGGGAATTCAGCCGTGCTGGTGGGAAGGTCAGGAAGACCATGCGGGAGCCACAGCTAAAGCCTTGAGGGCCTGCCGATTATACACCACTCTCCTAAACTCTTCGTAGCTTAAATCCAGAGTGGTCAACACACAATCTATGGGACACACAAGGCACCCTGCACTGCCTCACCACTTCTGCTGTGGTGGCAGTGGGGAGAAAGCAGAAACCCAAACACAGGGCTTGAGTGCCACTGGACTTCCCCACTTATGGTGTCCTCCACCTGGTATTGGGAGCCACCTGGAATTGGGAGCCATTGTCTCTGATACTGGAGACAATATACAGCCATCAAGTCCAGTAGTCACGTCTCACCTGATCCGCCATGTATTTCTCCAATCCTCCTTCAAAGCGTCCACGTGGGGAGCCGTCAGTACATCACACGGCAGTGAAAAGTTAAGTTGAACTTAGCACTGTGTAGGGATGTACTTTTCTCTTTTGAACAGTATTTCGAGATGACCAGCTTTTGCTACCCTGTCAGGTGTGCGAGACCTCTTATGGGTGCAATATTTCTCCTACATTTAATGCATAAGAAATTTGCTATCAAACATAATGTGCGTGTGTCACACAACATCATTTATTCTGTCATTTGTAATAAATGACGAAGATCAACTGCTAACAGGTTATTTGAGAATGAATGTGAAATTCACTCTCAGAAATGCTGGAAAAAGTTCAATCCATGCTGTGAATTAGCTTTGAACTTCAGAAGAAAGGAGATCAGCCATCTCATGTGAAGTGTGAAATGACTAATTGACATTGGATTACACAAGCATTTATTTTGCATTGCTAGCCACAGGGATGGCATGATCTTATGGGAACTGGTGTTCAGGCTACTGTATGCTTCTAAAACATTCTGGGTTAGAGCTCAATCACAAGGAGAGACATTGTGCTCACAGACCAGGACTGTCCATCCCCACCCCTCTCAGTTGATCCTGGATGTGACTAGTCCTCTGGGAATGGAGTGGGACATGGCATGGGAGAGGATGCTCAAGAGGAAATGGGCAAAAATTTCAGAACCTTCAAGTGCCTTCCGCTTCAGCAGGCATCCTTTGAACCCAGCCCATTGCAAGTTAGAAAGACTAAGGTCCAGATCCAGCTAAAGTTAATTGGGACTAATTCTCAATTAAGACCATCTTTCTGTTCATCCTGTAAAGGCTTCATTACAAAATGCACTCCACCCCCCAGCCTGTAGTTGAAACGGTGTAAATACAGAGACATTTTATCAAAGCAATTGCTTAACTGTGTAATAGTTACACTTGTCTGGCTAAGGGTCAAATAGTAAATGAGAACATTATATCATTTAAGGTGCAGTCCTGTGTAAGGTTAGACAGAAAAAAAGACCTTCTGCTCACAGAAAGTCCCAGCTGGGAGCTCTAGGGCTTTTCTCTCTCTAAGCTTGAAAAGGGTTGCACCCTGAATGTATCTAATATTTCTGCATCGCACTTTCTTCTGCAAGTAAGTAAGCTCTTAATAAGCAATATTGTGTTAGTTATTTCCCAAGGTGTAAACAACTATGCTGTGAATTGCATTTAATACTTTGTATCTTGCAACATAAACGTTAATGCATAATGCAAACTATTTCCATTTTCTGTATTCCATTTTCCGTGGAAGCATTAATGTGTCTAGAAATAATGTGATACCGTAGCAATTTACTAAAGTGTGGGAGTTCAAGAAGCTCAAATATGTCGTGTAATAGAACAGATTCGGAATGTGTTTTCATTACCCAAATTGGTTCTGTCTTCCAGCTGAAATCTCGTGTTCTAATGACTCCTTTAGCAATCTCCCCACCGAGAAGCACACCAGAACCAGATATTAGTTCAATCCCGCAAGATGCAGCCACAATCCCCAATTCAGCAGCTCCACAAGCTCTCACAGGTATGTAGAAACAAATAGTTCAAAAAGGGAACATTTGTGTAAAACTGTAGTTATTTAATAAATTTCTGCCCAGAGCAGTTTACAAAAGTAGGACGATTGATTACCTTCTAAAATGCAAAACTATATTGTTTTCATTGGACCCAGTGAATCTGTTTGCTGGCAGTCCATCTGAAGTCTTCTCTCTCTGCTGTCTCGGATTTGGTTTTTGTTATCATGGCTATGTGTGGCAGAAGAACAACAGTACATACATAAGCAATGCACGCTGACTCTGAATTAAGAAATACTGCATTGTGGACCAAAGCAAAGTCTATGCTATTCTGTATTAATAAATTTGTCATCAGATCTCTGTAACTCAGTTTGTGTCCCTCATTCGTGCATGTAATGGTTTCTCCTGTTTGTTTGTATGGCCTTTTGATGGCTTAAAGTGCCATGTAATGCTAACTATTATTGCCATTATAGTCCTATTTACCCAGAATAGATTGCTTTGAGTCTTTTTATTGTTCAGCCTGAGTGGCTGTTAACACTTCAAGCACTAGATTTTCATTATGGTGATACTAACTGTATATTATCCCCAACACTGCACAGCCATCAGCCACGTCCTTCGCTCTGTTATAATTTCTTTTGTCACCTATCTGATTTCTGTCACAGGGTAATGCTATATGTTCTGAAAGATGACAACTCTAGCACACTTGCAGCCAGCAATAATAATGTGTCTTACTTTAGACGGACTAAGACCATGTCTATAAGCACACACAAACCAGACCCTCTGGAATCTCTGTTATCATTTTTAAAAAAGAAGATTCGGATATGTAACATGTTAACATGGGTCCTCTTGTTACAGAAGAAGCACAATTGTGCTACAAACATTTTATCAGATTAATTATTTACTGAGTCAATGTTAGATTGAAGTATTTCTGTCCTTTTAGCCTTAATTAAGTCCTCTGTTAAGCACTGAAAGGACATAATATAGAACAAACCGATAAATGAAGATGGAATTACTGTACAGGCTTTTGTGAAGTGTAAGGAAGCATCAAAGATAGGGTGACCCTCGGACTACAAGGCTGCCTACTCAACCGGAGGCCAGCCTTGATCTTTTTCTTGAACACTTTATTTTTATCGGCTCTCAGAAGTGTATACTTCCAGAGAAGAATCCAATGGTGTCACAGTGCTAGTGCTGTTCTGTTGATGATATGCTACAGTAAACCTGGCCAGAAAACAGAAGCCAGAAAACAAAAGCCAGAAAAGTTTATGTGGCTAGTACTGGTTTATGCTAGCACAATGTTAATAGCACTAGTGCCACGGCACTGTTAAATCCTTTTCTAGACGTCTTCATTTTTTGAAACTGAAATTGTTCGCCCTTGCTCCACACTTGAACAAATGAGAATATACAGCTTGCTTTCTATAAACATAGACGTTTCTGGCCACAGCTGGAAATTCTCCCTTGCTGAACTGGATAATTTCTTTGTAACTGAACTCCAGTGCCTACCAGTTACAAAAGCCCTTTTGCAGGGAAGGGTTCATGCTTGGATGTAGTTCATGCAGAACATTGATGGAAGATAATGACTTCAAACAACTAAAAGACTAATTTCCAGTTACTTAAACGTGATAGGACTGCCACAGAATATGGGATATATTGGAAACAGGCAGGAACTGAAGTCCAGGCAGTGTACTTTTATTGGTGAGCAACCTTGGTGAGCAGTACATTAAGTTTTGCTGTTCCATATATTCTTCTATCAACAGTCTTATCTGCACTCTGTTTTGTACAAATTAAGTGCTTCATTTACAGTAGAAAGTCCCACTGAGTTCAGTGGGGCTTATTCCCAGTGGATATAGGATTTCAGCCTGAATTACTTAGGAAACAGTAGGCACCACAGGGTAATATAGTGCACCCTCCACTTTTAGCATTTTAATTCAGTATTTATTATTTGCTTTCTGGGCTCTGATCTTGTGACTCTGCTAGCACCTGCTCCTTTTACGAGAAGAGTGCATGGAAGAATGCCTGGCCCCAACTTACCCCAGTGCTGTTTCCCTTTGTTCCTGTCCATGCATGCAAACAACAAAGGAGATGTCATTTGTTGATGTTTTTCAAGCCTCTTTTGATAACCCCACTGGGATTTTTTTGCCTGCAGTCTGCATTTATGTTAACAAGCAAGCCAATGTGGGGCCATACCTCGAACGAAAGAAAGTACAGCAACTTCCAGACCACTTTGGACCGGAACGACCTTCCATGGTGCTACAGCAGGCAGTTCAGGCTTGCATTGACTGTGCACACCAGCAAAAGACAGTCTTCTCACTTGTCAAACAGGGCTATGGAGGTGAAATGGTGTCAGGTAAAACCACACAAGAGTGTTTGTGACAGTATCATCCTTGTTTGTAGAAGCATTGACAAAGGCCATAGGCTGGGACTTCATTTCAGATGTGGTATTGCCTTGTATCTTGAACCCTTGAAAACATGAATTGTACGATGTCTTTCCAAGCATGGACACCAAGATTCATATGTTGCAATCTTCAAAGAAGCTACCACATGGCATGATGTTTTGCATCCCTCATGTCTCCCTTGGAAATACGTGTGGGGAGGTCGAGCTGTGCTTGATTCTTGAAATGCCAATGGTATTCTGAGCACTCTAATATCTCAGACTTCAAGGGGCATGTGTTGTATTGCAATTTGCATTTGGCGAAGATTGAGTGGCTTGATCGAGTATTTGAACTTGCAACATAGAGTAGTGCCTTGACTGTGTACATCATTTCAAAATCACTGTTCAGTGTTGTTTCTGCATTAGAAGCAAGCAGACAAACAAATAGAATGCAAAATGGCCAACCAAAGCAGAGGTGTCACTTCATTCCACCAGTTAGGTATGGTCCCTTAGCTGAAATGTAAGGCAGGTTCTGGAATGGAAGACCAGGCTAGACTTCTAGAAGGCCCAGGCCTCCTAGAAGACATTCCCAGGCTCCTTTCTGGGCTCTTCCCAAGCCATGTGTGTCCTGCTTTGAGAAAGAAATGAAGTAACAGCGAACAACTTTATGAATAACTGAAGGTACAACCTATACAAGTTCAGAGAGGAAGAAAGTCTACAGCTCTCAGCATGCCCTAGCCAGCATGTTGTGGGTTTTAGGTCTGTTCTGTGCTTAAACCTGCATAGGATTGCCTCCTAATTGACAACTGTGTCACCATCAATTACTGCTCTTCTTCGGGGTGGTCACTGTGTGTATCTTGCATACATGTCACACACCAGATTTTTCACATCGCACTCCACCTGATCAATCTCACTGTTAACTTTTTCTCCCTTTACTCTCATGAGTCTATGCCAATGAATAACACTTTGCTTAATAAAGAAGACACTCACCCGTAAAAGCTCGTGTGATGATTGATTTGCTGGTTTTCTAAGTGCTATAAAACTCTTCCCTATTTTTAATCTGAGTGAGTGCAGACAAGTTTTCTGAGATGAATAGAACATGGCTTACATTGAAATGTCTGCACCTCTGTATCACAGGGTCACAGTCCACAGTATCACTGTTGAGAAACACCCCAAAAGCTTCAGCTATCAGATGGTATACAAATGCAATAAGTAGTTAAATAAAACTAGGATGATACTGTTCATTTGCTAATGTGTTTTTGCTTTGTATTGGGTTATGGGTTCTTGCTTATTTGCTTTAAACACACACACACACACAGCAGTCCATGTTTATCAAATTGCTTTGAAATCAGGGATTAAAAGCTTTAGGACATCTTATGAAGATAAATATGAGGAACGATAATAACTACTGGGTTCACAGACAGTGGATGTAGATAGAGCCTGTTCTGCTGCAGCAAGCATCTCATTTCTACTGTGTCACTGGGGCCCTCCCTGCTGTGCAGCCCCGACCTTTATCCTGCTGTGCAACATTTAAATGCTGTTTCTCCTGAAGGCTCTCTGATCCCAGTTTATACCCTTGTTAAAGTAACAGAAGGACACATGCTCCAAAATGCTTGAAAATTAATTCCTGAACACATGCCAATCCATTGAGTCCAACTGGTTTCACTCTTTTTCTCTAGTATGAATATGACTGAATTACCATTACCATTAATACATTGACAGACTCATGGGATCAGGCACCAAATGCACTTGCTTTGGTCCCTAAGACTAGACTCAAAGCTGAAAGATAAATTCATTTATTACGATCAGAGTTTTCCTCTGGCACCATAGGAAGCACGGGAGCTGTCGCCAGTGTTTTGTCTTCCACGGGACACATGCAATCGCAGTGATGCTAGTGTGACAATAACAAAACAGAATTACTTTCCTGTGTGTCTAAACAGACATTATGGACTTCTGCAGGGCTACAATGGTAGTTGGCATAGGTTTAATCTAAACTACATGAAAAATACAAGGTTTTCCTCGCTCCCAATTCAGGTGTGGGCCCAACCATTGAAATGTTAGACACAACCTATTACAGGGCTGGTTCCTCATTCTGTTGTGACATTTTCTGCTGTAAGGGGGAAATAGAGGCTGTGTGTATATGTACACTAGCCAGCTTCTGCAAAGCTTTCAGCTCTGATTTATTGTTCACCACAAATTCTTCAAAAAGGCAATTAGTAGTGGCATGTTTTTATTTGTCACCTATGTGAACAACAAAAAGAATGCCACTACAGCTTGGAGAGGGTGGACAGAAGTAATTTCTAATTGTGAAAATTAGTCCATGTTGCAAGATTGCAGGGAAGCACATTCTGACTACAGTTTTCATCAGATTCTGGTGATTTAGTCTAGCTCAGCACAAAGAGATGAACTAACAGCTAAGTTTGTATATGGATTGGAGGCAATTCACCCTGAGGCATTGGAAGGAAAATTTGGACTCACCCTTTTTGGCAAAGTGTTTAGAGAGAAGTTCCCAGCCTGGGTTGCCTGCATCCCCAGAGGGTGCAAGAAAGAGGAAGGCTGCGTAGCAATTCATCAAAATTATTATTATTTTGTTTGCACTGGGTTCAGTTCTCTTTTGTCAATCAGGTTAAAATCTAGAAACCGCCTGAATCAACAGGGAGACTTGCAGATCACAATCAGCAAGAAAGTTCCACATTTTGACAAAATTGTGAATTAGAATAAGGAGCAAAGAAGTCATTGAATTTTATGTTCACAATTGGGATTGATTTTACTGTTTACATTTTTTCTAATTTATCAATTTATGTTTGAATTTTGTGCACTGAGTTAAAAGCTTCTTTTTTTCAAGTTTAGTTGGTTGCCCCACAGTCCTGCATGCAGCTCAATTTGTGGTTCAAAAGTTAGAAATTTGACTTCTTCATCTTCAATTGCGATATTGCTTTTGTAGTGGGTGTGAACATAAATCAAAAATTTTCTATGGGTGCGGGGCATGGACAAGGTTCAGAATCACTCGTTTAGAGCAGCAGCAATCAATGCCGAGCTGGGCTACTTTCATCCTTCATGTATTTATGTAGCGAATGGCCCAGAGGCCAAGAGGTCGCAGTTATCAGCATTTGCTTGAAAGCCATGCAACTTTCAGTGAGGCCAACAAGAGGACAGTACTAGTTCTGTTCTATATGTGGTGCTCCTGTGTACATTGAACAGCCCTCTAATGTTTTCCCATTGTTTCTCCAGTTTCTGCTTCTTTTGATGGAAAACAGCACCTCTTGAGCCTTCCAGTGGTGAACAGCATTGGCTATGTTTTGCGGTTCCTCAAAAAGCTTTGCCGTAGCTTATTGTGTGACAATCTTTTCAGTAATCAGCCTTTTCCACAATACAACACTTCTGAAAACCCAGAAGAGTATGAAAATGGGCGAATGGAATCAGGTAGGTTTTGTCCGCTATCAAGGAAATACTTTAAAGCTGACTTTCAGTTTGTGTAAGAAAAAAAAATCATGAAAGTTTATGCAGCTTACCAGCTGTAATATTTGATTGATTGATTGATTGATATCCTGCCTTTTTCCTACAAAGGGCTCAAGGCAGCTTCCATCTCCTCCTCTATCTTATCCCCACAACAACCCTGTGAGGTCTGTGGCTGGCCCAGAGTCACCCAGCTGGTTCCATGGCCAAGCGGGGACTAGAACCCAGATCGTCTGAGTCCCAGTCCCGTGCTCTTCACCACTACACCGCACTGGCTCTTATATTTAATGTCTAAGGAATGTTGCATGCCACTTCCAAGAACGCATTTCTTTTCTAAGTCACAGGAGGCTCAGGAGCAGATATACAAAGACAGAACAATGTATTAAGGCTGCACTCTCGCTTCCTTCTCATCCTTATTTATTCAAAAGCCATGCACCTACCTTTCTCTGTGAAACTAGGGTAGTTTTCAATAATAAAAGTGCCATATAATAAATAGAGGTATCAGTCTTCCCATCTGGGAGATGGGTAGGGGGAAATGTGCAATACAAACTACTGAGAGATGAGGGGGTATAGGGAGTATCCTGCATGAATATCCGTAAGTAGTTTTCAGGATCACAGGTATATCCCCCAAATCAGAGGCTGCTTCCTGCAGAACAAAATATACATCTGCAAACTCATTTTCCATATGTGTGAGAATGGGTTGGCATGGACACAGAGGCACATTCAAGAGTGAAGGAGCAGGCAGTGGGTGCTGAAGCCTTCCCACCTGTGCTGGCTCTTCTCCGTAAGTGCCGGCTCTTCAGCAAATGATGTTTCTCTTCACAGAGAGACCAAGCAAGAGAAAAGCAGAAAGGGAAAAACAAAATAGGACTGGTGGAGATTTGGAGGAGAGAAACCCTGGCTGCGGGGAAGGATAGACACCTCCTCCTGCCCAGCAGTTTCCCTCTTGATTCTCTCTCCCAGAATATCCCATATTAGTGCTGTGAGACAAACACAGGAATGGGGAGCCAGACAGTTTGCGTAAAGTCTGCTTCCACGCCACTTCTGTGGGTTCTTGAGCGTGCTGCTCAGATTCCTTTGATTGCTTTCTATTTTATATGGGCTTTCTTCCATGTAACTCTCTAAGGTTTGTCCTCATGTGATGTATTATAATCCTCAGCAATACAAAAGAGCTCAGCCTTGTTTTGCAAGCATGAAAAGATGCTTTCAGTTTGTTGCAGTATGAATTTTGATTCGCCTTTTGTGCTTAGTCCTTCAGATCTGCCAAATGTTGGAACTTTGTGGCACAAATTGAAATATGAAGGGTCTTTTTTAAAATCTGGGAGAAACCTAGAAAAAAATACTGAGGGGGTGTGTGTTCTTGCCCCAGACTTCCCAAAAATGTCAGGAAAAACACACAGAAAAACCTTCCCCCCTATTTCCCCACCTCCACTTCACTTTGGGGATTTTTCTCAGACCCTTGTATCTCTAAGCCTATGCTAAGAAAATGTGCTTTGAGAATTAAGCTTTGTAATGTCATTGAATATTTTGTTCTATCATAAAAAGTTATTAATTTTTAAAAGCCATCAAAGACTTCATTAAAAACATTATAATGGCTGGACATAATAGTCATGGATGTCTCTTTCCTGTTTTCGAAGTGATCTTCTGAAGGGAAAAAAGCAACAAGAGTAAAATCCCTCAAATGCAATAAATGCGTTGTGTCTGCTTTTTTCTCATTCAGTTTTGTGGCAGACTCTATCCTGCCTTCCTCCATATAACAACTGCAGTGCACCTCTTTGGAGCATAGTCAAAATAAATGGCTTTTATGGTTATCAGTAGTCCCGGCTTTGGTTCAGCATTTAATTACCTGCAGAAGCCATTTATTGCCTCATATATTCCTCTGCCATGAACATTATCCCTTAAACAATAAATAAAATATTAAGGTCAAATTTAAAGGGGGAATGGAAGATCTGTGCAATCCACTCAACCACAACAAAATTTAATAGAAAACTATTTGCCTGATCTAAAAAGGTTTGTGGCGAGGAGGTCATTATGTTGTCTGCAGCATTTGAAATGAGATGGAACGTGATGATTGTATACATGGATTTTTCATTCTTTTTGACAGCTGAGCTACAGTCAAAAGTGGGGTTATGGCACTGCCGCCTCTACACCCCCAATTCAGGCACCGGTTGACAGTGATTCAGTGAAGGAGGCATTACATTAGCATAATATACCATTTGTAAACATCTACTTTGCACAAAGTAGAAACTGGCATTTATTTACTGCACTGCTTTCAATTTATGACAGCTGTCTTATGTCTCTGTAGAGCCACACTGCGAGGCTCCCTGGTAGATTTCAAACCAGGCAGGACTGTTAATAGCAAGCCCTGAGGTGGCCCAGCTTTTGGGTTTGGCTCACAGCTCATGTGCTCAGTACTGCACAGAATGCCAGTACTGCATGCCGTCATGCAGCGTACATGATCCCACCTTCGAGAGACATCGGCTCCACTACAGCTGATAAGGATGCTTGCAGGAATGCAGGGCTGACTCTTTCACCTAGTCATGGGCAACAGAACTCTGATACATCGGCTGGCCCAGTTCAAGGGGCAGCTGAGTCCCCTGCACGGATGATGGTTAGGCGAGCCCATGGGATGGAAAGGAGTCCTTTCTTCCTGTGTCATCTTAGCTTGCTGGGCCTCCTCTGGCCAATACAGCCACCTGCCCTAGTATAACCAGTGACTGTTCCTTATTTCCTGGTGGCTGGAATGAAGGATGCCCAAGGATTTTGAGACAAACTGATCGATTTCCCATCTCTTTGACCAACATGCAGCTCAAAAGTGCAGTTTTTCCTCCAATTTCCCACTTCTTTGAATGTTGCAGTTCTCAGCTAAAAAGCACACTGAGATGTGCATGAAAATGCATATTGTAAGATAAAATACTTTTAGAATGTCATACTTCGAGAAAAATACATTTAAAATGCATATTTGGTGGAAAAATATTCAAAATATGTACTTAAATGCAACTGTTTGTGTTGTGCATTTGTGTGTGTCTGTGTGTGTGTGTGCATATTCACAGAATAAAGCAAAAACAGGACAGAATGGATTTATGAATCAACGTGTGCAAAACTGAACTAGAAATAGACTAATCACTCCTTCCCAAGCAAGATTCTTGTCAAAGTGCTTCCTGACCTGTCTGGGAATCCAGCAGGCAAGGAAGGCAGCAGACCAAGGACATAGGAGGGAAGAAGACACTTGGTGTTCAAATGCAGGGACTGAATGTTGCGATCTACCCTCAATAGTCATAGAACCAGAGAAAGCTGACCTGGTCCATTTAGCCCTGTATTGTCAACACTGCCTGGCTGCAGCTCACCAGGGCTTCAGGCTGGGTTTTTTTTCCATCCCTAAGCCAGAGAAGCTGGAGATTGAACCTTTGATCTTCTGCATGCAAAGCAGGTACTTTTCCATTTAGGCTGAGCAGTGCTAGGTGCCCAAAAAATCTGCAGCTCAGGTGCACAAGGAAACTCCCACAAATTGCATATGCTATTTTGGATATGCTCAAAAGTATTTCTCTCTCTGTCCTTCTTTAATGGTCCTCATCTGCAAAAGACATCCCTATTCATGAAAAGGGACATATGAACAGGAGAGAGCAGGGCATCTGATTTCAAGAAACCACCCCCCCTCAGGCTGAAAATTCCAGGAAGTTGAAGCAAGAGGTGCAGCACACATGGGCAAGAAGCCAGCTAAGCCAATGTTTAGGGCCCCTAAAACTTTATTTCCGCAAGTGCCCATGACAGAAGGTTGGTAGGGTAGATGATTCCAGAGATTCAGGGATTCATTGCCCAGGTTTTTTAACATGCTGGAGTGCTTTTACCTGCCTGTCTATTCTACACTTTGGGGGTATTGCACTTGGTTGAATTGTGACATTAAAACGTTTTAATTAGGTAAACAAGCAGGATCTTAGAATTCTCCTCTTGAAGTAACTAATTTTATTTGCTATACTTTTATCCTGGGTGGGAAGGGGGGGTCATTCATCTGGTGCCTTACATGAAAACCTGAAATAAGACAGGTGGGACGGGGAGAAAAAATGACTGCACTCGCACAATATGAGGACACATCATGGGAGAGCAGCCATGATGGGTTGTCATTTCGTGTGGACCCAAACCACTGCCAAACCCAGGATGGAACTGTACACACGAAACCCAGGTGACCAACCCTATCATGGACGCCAGGGCATGGTTAGTGAGCTTGTTAGCAAGCGCAAAAACCCCTTGCCACTCTCACCAAGCTCATCCGCATTTCCACCAGCAGCAACCAACCCCACAAATGCCCAAGTAGTACTTTGGGGTGACCGCCACTGGCTCAGTGCCCCCTGCCTTAATCATGAGTCCTTTTTTGTTCACCACAGCTTTTCCCCTCTTTAACTTTTTTCAAATTCAGTAACAGCCCCTTGAAAGTGCCTGGATGAAGGGGCTGTCAGTGTCCTGAGTATTCTTGCTGTCAAAGTGAAGCAGGTAGTAAACTGGACGTTGACCCTGCGAGAGCCCTGATAGTGGTGTTGTTTTCTTCACTGTGCTTTTCCCTGACAGTTGTCAAAATGGAAGCAGTCCAGTCAACATGATGCTGAGTGATCCTTGCTCACAAAAGGAAGTGGCCAGTAGATCACCCGCTTGGCAATGAGATCCTTAGAGTTTTGCAGGTCTCCTAGGTTCCAGTGCCTCCAGCTGGTCCATTCATTCCCAAAACTAGGTGGATAGGAAGGCAGAAATATTTCCACACTCCGTTTTCATTAACAGTTGTCTTTGACATCAGTCAAAGGTATCAAAGGTACAGGCTTCTTTGAACACAGTGATTTAGGCAGTTCTGGGAAGGTTGGATTGGACATAGGAGCATACATATGAAATCTGTATACTTCCCTGCCAAAACCACCTTGAGAAGCCACGTCAAAATCCCTGTCATGAAAGAAACCTCCACCTCTGACAGTTGGGTTCCCAGAGGGGAAATGTGGAGAAAGCCACAGGGAGACAAATTGTCTGTTGGTCAGACTCATACCATGAGTTGCTGAGACACCAACCAGTTCACCATGTCTTATTGTCAGGTGGGTTAGCATGACATGTGAAGCTGCCCAGTTATATTTTCTTCTTGCAGTTCCAGAGGAATGTCCTCTGGGTGGCTAGAATCAGTTCTGGTACATCTGGGCTACCAGGTCAAAGTCATGTACTTCCTGGAAGATTCAAAGCACCAGCAAAGATCAGTTGGACTTGATGTTTGTAGTTATGAAAGGGAAAACATGGCCAGGTGTTTCTTCTCTAGAGCATTGCCTGATGAGAATTTTAGGGAGTTGTCTGTCCTAGGGTAAGATCAGACCTGGTAGATGCTAAATCAGTCTCAGCATTACATACACAATGAAAAGTATTAATTATTCAGGCAGATTTAAAACCAGGTTTTAGGGCTGGTAGGAGCTACTCAGCAATGACTAGGAAGCAGGGCAGACAGTTAGATGAACCCGCAGCATAACTAAGGTAGAAGAAAAGGTTGGGCACTGTGAGATCATGATGCTGAAAATGGATGGGTCACATCTGGTCAACCCATTATAAGAAAAAATATTATAGCACTTAAAAAGGTACAGGGATGGGGTCATGGGGTGATTTCAGGATGAAATAATATGAGCAGTGTCACTGACAAGAAAGAAAGGAAAAAAGAAAGAAAATGACCTGAACAAATATTAATGAGGCATTGAACTGAGATAGCTGGAGTATTGAAACACTGCAAAAACTGAGATAAACAAAATGAAAATAGAAGGCATGGGACTTTTTTCCTGTGTGCAGTGGACAGTTTCTAATGTTCTAGCAGAGCACTAAAGAGTGGCCATTTGGCCCTGTACAGTTATATTGCTTATGCACACATTTGATCAAACGTGTGATGAAGCGCTGCCTTTTTCCACCTGCCACCCCTCTCTGGCATGCATGCCTCATTCCCTGATGTCCATGCATTAGACAGCATAGTTGCCTACTGGAGGTGTGTGTGTGTGTGTGTGTGAGTGAAAGAGAGAGAGGGGAGTATAAGAGACAGCAAAACAGAAGCCTGACAGCTTTTCTATTCAAACCTGTATTGACTGATTCTACTCTCAGTCCATTTCCCCATTTCTAAATGAATACCCCATTTCCCCTGTTCAATAAATAAATTAATAAATGAATTCCATGGGGAAGTGCTCAGAAATTGTAGCAACAGCTGCCAAACTGGACAGCACACCATTTTCTAAAGAACTTGCAAACAACCAGGAGTAAGGAATCAAGAGCACCAAATGCATGCCTCGTGTACAAAAATCTCAAGAGACAGATGTGGGAAGTGAGGACATAGGACAGTATCTGGGCCTAGCGATCTGCTGGTCCTTAAGCACATTATACTAACATGAATGTCTGCTAGTGCAATGGGAAGTTAGTGCTGGGTAGCAGAACCAGGAACTTCCTGAAACTGCCCTTCGGGAATGGAACAAGTCAGCGGAATTGACAGAAGGGAGCTCGGCTCTCTTTACCTGTTCCAGGAATGGTAATTTGGGCTAGTCTGCTGGGTTGCACAAGCAAATGCCAGCTTCCCATTGCACTAGTGGTTATGTTCAGCGCTGGCAAATTGCCCACTAGAGCAGTGTGTTTAGCGCTGGCAAATTGCCAGTAAAGAATACTGCCCCATCTCCTCCTCCCTGCTTCTGTGTGCCATGTCCATTTGTTATGATCCAAAAGGTTTTGGCACATTGGCGATACGACCATGCTTGCCCACAGCCAATCAGTAAGGATATACCAACATCATGGTGGGGGCCATTCCCATCAGATGGCATAACTTCTCATGCTGGGACAAGTTTATAATTTTTGGTCTACCACAGGGACACACACTGGATTCTGAAGCGCCCGTCTCCCAAATTCAGGGAAACCCTCTGCCAAACCCCCAGGTTGTTTGTTAATACAGTTCAGCAGCAAGATGCAGATTTTTCTCATAAAAAGTTTCAGGTTTAGGGGCAAATGAAATATGATATTAAACCTGGAGTGCTGCAGCTATTAAATGATGTGCCTGATTTTCACTGGGACCTTGGGAGGGAGGAAAGGATGACCTTTCTTCTCCTTCCTTTGTTCTGTGTTTCCAGTGCAAATGCTGCTCCCACTCCCTGCAGCTCTCGCTAATTAACAAACAAGGGAAGTACTTCAAGTCACACATTTAATGTTATAGCTAATCTGGTTCTTGGTTGCTAGCACTGCCGGGTAGCCAGGCTGGGAGCCAGGCTTGACTGGGCTCCTGCACACATTGGGTCACATACCGGGGCGGGGGGGGGGGGGGTTCAGAAATCCACTGTGATAGCTTAGCACGTTTGATCTCTGCAGGATGTGTGGTGCCCACACCCAACAGGCCCTGAGCCTTGCTCACCCACAGAAATGGGGTACTGTGCCCCACGCAGGGGTGGCCAGCATCGCCAGGCAGTGTGATAGGCTGTAAAGCCTGCCGTCACAGCATCAGCATGCTTTGTTTACTGAAAGCAGAGAAAAATCTGATGCTCCTTCAAAATTTGGTCAGTCCCTTCAGGTAGCCAAAGCGGACTTTTCTGAACCCTGTTAAGTATAGTTGGTGTGGTGAAACACGGAAAATTACACAAGAGCCTTTTGTATACTCCTAGTATTTGCAGCAGCTCGTTGGTTAGCAGGAGTCCTTTACCAATAAATTGCATGTCCTATCCTCCTCCTCCTAGCTGTCATTACCATTGTCATCATTAGTATCATTATTATCTTTATCATATTATCCTTACCTTCCTGTTGAAAGTGCAAACAAGTGGGGCAGATGTTGGTAAAATAATCTGCTAGCTACACTGTGATTTAGACTGTCATTAGATAAATCTGAGCTGTGTCTCACCTGCCTGGGAACCTTCTCAGTTTACACAATTCTCTCATAATATACTTTCTCTAACTATATAAAAATCATTCAGAAGGAAACCAAGCACTGCAGTCAACCAAAGACTTGAGTTAAGTTGACTTACATATATTATTAATTAATTTCAGAACTACAGAGCTACTGTCCCAGAAATTAATTTAAATCCGTTTCCTATTATAAATCCTCGTTGATAAATTAAATTTCGCATAATACAGTATTTTCTATTCTGTTCACACTTCAGTTTTCTAATGGATCTAAGCTGTCTCTCTGATATTAAAACTGAATGAAAACAGAAAAAGATAATTTAACAAACCCTTCATTCTGCTTTGGTAGAAAATCAATGATTGTTTTTCATTAACCCTTGATCCTTTTCTTTGGAGCAGAAACAGTTATACCTGAAGACTACCTGGTTGATTCAGTGACCACAAAGCACTACAGCGCAGATCCCTCAGATTCTGCCTTTAACTGTATGGGATCTGTGTATTCTATGAGGCAAAGTTCAGCAGATGGACGTCATGGTGGTGGATCATCTTCCTCTTGTAGCCATCGTTCTGGTCAGATGGCTTCTGGAGGGCCATCAACTGCTAGCTTGAGGCATCAGACATCAAGCCCAACCCGAAATGGAACCTATCTAGAAGGAAACATAAGTGGTAACATACTATATTCATATTCTCTGATGATGCTAAGGTTGTGTTGTGTCCCATGTCCTTGAGTTTCATATATCTTATGATTTGCTTCATGGGAAAGGATTAAAGACAGTGATGATTTCCATATACAATGGATGTGTGTACATGGGAATGGGAGCACGGCATTAAGTTATATGCAGTCACAGGACTGAACCCTGTGCACATACAGGGAACGTATGGGGTGGCATAAAAGTGTTTTAATAAATAAATAAAATAAATAAATAAACGTGTGCCGGTGGGAAGTCCCAGACAGGAGCATTTCAGGGGCAGTGCAGGGCAAGGCACAGCAGCTTTGGAGCTACGAGATCCTGCTTAGCCATGTTTAAGTCATTCCTGTTTCTCTCTCCTAATTTATTAACAGGTTTCTAGAACACCTAATATGTCTTCCCTATTAGATATATTGAAAGCATATCCAGGAAAATGTCTTGCTTGTACCGTACAATCCTTCTGGTTGGCAGTAGCTTGCTGTTGCCTTTCACCTCACTATCAATCTTACATTTGCTTATTTTCATAATTGCCATGGCAGCTTTATTCACCTATTTTTAATTGACCCTTCATTCATTTCCTTTTTTGAATCAGTGTGGTTCTTGTACTGTACTCAAATATAAGCTTAGCTGTGGAGCCACTGGATGGCCTTGGGCAGTTTTACTCAATCCAATCATGTAAAATCTAAATAAATACTAGTATTCTGTTAACCATAGCAACAACAAATCCAGTAAACTCTTTCAAGATGTAAAGTGCTGCATAAATATTAAAGCAGTAAATATTTGCTCTTCTAAGGAGAGCCAACCCTGTCATTGTGCAAGCGCACAGTTCCCCAAAGCCTTGGTCCAAGAGGCTATGTGAGACAGGCGTGCCCACATGTGCTCACCCCCACTTGCTATTTTGATCTGGGGAAGAGGAAATGTTTCTGCTGTCCAGGAATTTCTGGGATCCAGACCCGCAAGCTAAGCTCCTGCTTAAGACTATTCAAAGGCCGCAAGAGTAGCATTCTGAGGAATCTGCTATTGGGTGACCTTCCTTAGGCCTATTCCCCACAACCCCATTCCCCTGGATGAGACTAGCTAGGCAGGCCCCAGTGGGGACCTGGATACAGTTGCTTTATTTGGTTGCTGCCCTAGAGGACTTTCTGATGATGATGATGATGATGATGATGATGATGATGATTATAGCATTTCTATGCCGCCCCTTGCCAAAACCTCGGGGCGGCTTACAACATGATAAAATACATTGAAATACAATAGTACATAATAAATTACCATTAAATATAAAAATACAAAGAATACATTGATTTACAAAAATAAAATTAAAATTATCAGTATAAAATAAAAATATAGGAGGAGAAAGAGAAGGAAGAAGAAGTTGCCCTGGCCAGATCATATGTTTTAACAATTGAAATGATGTTTAAATAAAAAGGTCTTTACCTGGCGCCGAAAAACCAGTAACGACGGTGCTAGGCGGACCTCTTTAGGGAGTGAATTCCATAGGTTGGGCGCCACCGCAGAGAAAGCCCTCCTCCAGGTACTTACTCTCCTAATTTCTTTCATGGAGGGTTCCCGGAGAAGGGACTCTCCCGCAGATCTCAAAGGGCGGTCGGGCATATACGGACGTAAGCGCTCGTTCAGGTAGCCAGGACCCAAGCCGTTTAGGGCTTTGTAGGTCATAATCAACACCTTGAATTGGGCCCGGGCTTCAATGGGAAGCCAGTGAAGCTGACGGAGGACTGGAGTCATGTGAGCATAACGCCCCATCCCCGTCAGCAACCTGGCAGCTCTATTTTGCACCAATTGAAGTATTCGGACTGTCTTCAGGGGAAGCCCCACGTAAAGCGCGTTACAGAAGTCTAGGCGGGAAGTCACCAGCGCGTGTGTCACTGTCGCCAGGCAGTCGTACTCCAGGTAGGGGCGCAGCTGATTAATCAGCCGAAGCTGAAGGAAGGCGTTCCTCGCTACCGCTGTCACCTGAGCTTCCAAAGAAAGCTCCGGGTCGAGGAGTACTCCTAAGCTGCGGACCTTATCCCTAAGAGGGAGTGTTGCACCATTCATGACCAGGTCAAATCCACCCTCTCCGAAACCCGATCCGCCAACCAACAGGACCTCCGTCTTGTCTGGGTTGAGTTTCAGTTTATTGGCCCTCATCCATTCCCTTACTTCGGCCAAGCACCGGTTCAGCACAGCCACTGCCTCACCTGGATTAGTGGAGAACGAGAGGTAAAGCTGGGTATCATCAGCGTATTGATGATTCCGCAGCCCACACCTCCTGATGACCTCTCCCAGCGGTTTCATATAGATGTTAAATAGCAGAGGGGATAGAATGGAGCCCTGTGGTACCCCATGGCATAGCTGCCATGACGTAGAGACATGGTCCCCCAGCACTACCTTCTGGAATCGACCGTTGAGATAGGAGCGGAACCACTGCAAAGCAGTGCCTCCAACCCCCAATCCCGCAAGTCTATCCAGAAGGATACCATGGTCGATGGTATCGAAAGCCGCCGAGAGGTCCAGAAGAACCAACAGGGATGTACTCCCCCTGTCCTTCTCCCTGCACAGGTCGTCGTACAGGGCGACCAAGGCAGATTCAGTACTGTACCCGGGTCTGAAGCCGGACTGAAAAGGATCCAGATAATCAGTTTCATCCAAGAGTGCTTGGAGTTGTCCCGCCACCACTCGCTCCAACACCTTGCCCAGAAACGGGATGTTGGCCACAGGTCTATAGTTAGTGGCCATCTCTGGATCCAGTGACGCTTTCTTCAGGACTGGTCGTATTACCGCCTCCTTTAAAGGGGCAGGCACTCGACCCTCCCTCAGAGAAGCGTTAACCACTTCCAAGATCCAGGTCCCAATACCGTGCTTGGAGTTATTTATTAGCCAAGACGGGCAAGGATCCAATAGGCAAGTGGTGGGACGTACTCTTCCAAGCACCTTGTCCACATCATTGGGCCGCAATAATTGAAATTCCTCCAATAATTTTGGACCAGACGGTGGCATTGGCGACTCCTCAGAGACCTCTGATTCATTAGTGGAGTCCAGCTCGTGACGAATCTGAGCGATTTTCTCCCTGAAATGCCTGGCAAAGTCGTCACAGCAGGCCTTCGAGGGTGGCATCGGATCTTCCTTAGGACCCGGGCGAACCAGGCCTTGCACCACTTGAAAAAGCCCCGCTGGACGGCATTGTGAAGAGGCAATGGAAGCGGAAAAAAACTTCTTTTTCGCCGCCTTCACCGCCACAGCATAGGCCCGATAGTGGGCTCTCAAGTGTGTTCGGTCAGATTCATCCCGTGATTTCCTCCACCTACGCTCTAGCCGTCTCCCAACTCGCTTCATCGCCCGTAATTCAGGTGTATACCAAGGGGAAGAGCGGACTCTGCCCGGTGGGAGAGGACGCTTAGGAGCGATCGTGTCCACAGCCCTGGTCATCTCTCCGTTCCACAGTTCGACCAGAGCCTCGACAGGAGCACCAGTCTTGTCAGCCGGAAACTCCCCCAGGGCCTTCAGAAATCCATCCGGATCCATCCGGCTCCGGGGGCGGGCCCATACAATCGGGTCTGCACTCTTATAGAGGGAGAGGCCGCTCTCGAGCACAAACCTCACCAGGAGGTGATCTGACCATGACAGGGGAGTCAAACATAAGTTCTTCACCCTCAGGTTATCCTCTACCTGCCCCGTCGTGAATACCAGGTCCAGAGTGTGTCCACGTTCATGGGTTGGGCCAATGACATGTTGAGACAGGCCCATGGCCGTCATAGAGGCCATGAAGTCCTGAGCCGCCCCGGTCAGTCCAGACTCGGCATGGAGATTGAAGTCCCCCAGGACCAACATCCTGGGGGTCCTCAACACCAGGTCCGAGACGGTCTCTGTCAGCTCAGATAGGGAGACTGCTGGGCAGAAAGGTGCACGGTACACCAATAGAATCCCCAATCTGTCTCGTTCGCCCAACACCAAGTAGAAGCACTCCAGCTCTGGTCTCAAAGGGACCGGAAGACCCATGAGAGAGATGGAGGCTCTGTGAACCAACGCGACTCCCCCTCCCCTCCCTTGTGGGCGTGAACAGTGTTGAACCAGATACCCGGGCGGGCACAATTGGGAGAGGGCAACAATATCACCTCCTTTCCCAACTGCAATACCTACCTTTAAAAAGAAAAAAAAAACTGTCTTGGATTTTTGAAATAGCATTACACCAAGTTAATATTACAGCATCAACTTTCACTTTCGACATGCCATTTTCTATGCTGAACTTAAATGGCTTTTTGTTATCACTCTATTTATTAGCTTACCCCCCTCCCCAAATCTGATGGAATTACATGTAGCACGAGCAAAGGAAAATTCACCAAAGGAAACCCCAGTGAAGTCATGCTATTAATGAACATGGAGACCTTCCTCCCGAGCACTACTGCTCTTCACCAGTTTCCACGTTGCTCAGTTTTAATGAGGTGGATGCTTCCTTGAAACAGGTTGCTGTGATTAAACATTGAAGGCAGTTCCCTGAGAACCGGTGCTTGATTTAGTCCTAGGGAAAGCACAGGCTTGTCTTGCCCTCAGTTTGATCATGGGGTGTGTAGTTACAAGTGTAATTAGGAAAGCAGCAAAAGGCTTGTTCTCTCAGAATGCCCAGCCAAGATTTAAGGCTCCTTTTCTGTCCAGTTTCAGCGAGATTCGTTTCAGTTCCCCCTCAAATGCAGCACCCGGGCAGGACGAGGGGGCAGCAGGGGAGGGGGGGGCGGATGGCAGAAGCCTTCTTCAACCTTGACCTGAATCAGCCTTTCTTGACCTGCCACTCCCTGGATCATTCCCAGCCAGCATGGCCAGTAGTCTGGAATGATGGGAATTGTAACACAAAGCATCTGGAGGGCAGCAAGCTGGGGAACTCCGACTTACATGGATTCACACAAACATTTGAAGAGAGACTGAGTTCGTGGATGCTATTAGAGCCACGCCCAGGTTAGGGGTGGAGTCTGCTACCACAAC